ACTTAACCCAGTTTTAGGCAAAGTTGCTGAAAAAGACTTTTTGAAGAAGGAGCTTCTCTTTAGGGTTCCTCAAATCATACCATGGAAAACATTTTAACAGTACAATGTGGACTCAGGAAAGGACCATTAAAAATGATTAAGGGTTGAGACAAGATTGAGGGAGAATAACTGTGTCCCAGGAAGAACAGCTTCTTTAGCCTTCAATTGCTTTTGCAATTTCAGATAAAAAGCAGTTACCACATCTCAGGGATTCTGTTGTGAAATTCTGTTTTGTTTTCTCTGATCTTGAGTGGACACTAAGCATGTCTAGAGAGGAGAGCAAAGGTCTTAGCCAATTTATTATTAAACACTGCATATCTACATATTTTGTTAGATACCATAATTACATAAAATGTGAACTTTAGTATCTCAAAGTATTGAGACAGATCAAAATAAATCTAATAAAAACAAATGTTTATGGGACTAGAGAGATGTCTCAATGGTTAAGAGTACTTGCTGTTCTTCCAGAAGATCTGGGTTCAGTTCCCAACACTCACATGGAAGCTTACAGACATCTGTAATCCAATACCAGGAGATCCAACACCATCATCTGGCCTCCTGGGGTATCAGGCATGTGCATGGTACACACACATACACACACACACACACACACACACACACACACACACACACACACCTCTCTCTCTCTCTCTCTCTCTCTATATATATATATATATATATATGCATATATATATGCAAATACTCAAATGCATAAAGGAAAAATAAAAGCTTAAAAAACAGGTGTTTTCAAAATAGGACCCTGCAATTGTAATAATCAAGTCAGAACTGTAAACATGCATATTTTGCAAGTCTCACCAAGTGATTCCTTTTAAAAAGTCATTATTTTAATCATATGTATTTACTGGATATGGTGTAAAATTTGATACACATAATGTACCACGATCAAATTGGGGTCTAGGTGATTTGTTGATTGGAACCTTGCTTTTCTGTCCAAACCAGTGAAAACTGGGTTTTGAAGTAGTTACTTCATGTACAATTTGTACCTACCAGAACTGCATGAAACTATGTAATGTTTTTGGGAAATTTGGCTTAAACATGAAAGATGTTGAAGAAAATTTGAAATGCAGTGTAAGTTATAGAAAAGAACCAAGTGCAAAAACTTGCTTTCCTTTGAGAAAAGAAGTTATGAACTCCATTTTGCTACTCCTTATCTAGGAAAACAATTCTTTATGGAATCTTCAAGATTAATTATAACGGCACAAACCTACATGATACATTAGAAGCTGGACTGTTCAATACAGGCAAAAGTAAATCCCCATCCAAGGTTTTTTGTTTTGTTTTGTTTTTGTTTTTTTTTGTTTTTGTTTTTTTTTTTGGTTTTTCGAGACAGGGTTTCTCTGTGGCTTTGGAGGCTGTCTTGGAACTAGCTCTTGTAGACCAGGCTGGTCTCCAACTCACAGAGATCCGCCTGCCTCTGCCTCCCAAGTGCTGGGATTAAAGGTGTGCGCCACCACCACCCGGTAAGTTTTGATATTTTTCAGATTTCAGATTATGTGTATATGCATAAAATGAGAAATCTTGGATCTAGGAACCAAGTGCCAACATTTGTTTCATGTATACTTCATAAACGGTGTGAAGGTATTCTCACACAATTTTTCTCTTTTTGATTAACATGTCTTATGACATCAGCTGTGGAATATTCCACTTGCAGCAAGCATCATATCACTGCTCCAAAAGTTTTGGACATTGGAGCATTTCAGATTTCTAAATCAGTAATGCTTAATTTGTTCTCAGTCACATCATGGGTTAGGGGGCACTTTGCAGATTGGGATTAAAGGCTCTGGAATACGAATGCATAAGCTCAGATCCTAGCTCAACACTGTGCTGGCTGTGTGTATAATTGTGGACAACAGCTTGAACCTCATCATGCCCATCTGTAAAATGGTGGTAGAGGGAGTCATCAACCGTGTTACCAAGTTTTGAGCTACAATAATGACCAGCACTGTAAGATATGCCCATTGGTGTAATAATGGCACAAATATTATGGAGGTAACCCATCCCTTCCTGATTGAATTTAAGGCCTACTCCACAGGAGGAAACACATGTCTGGTACTATAAATATGACTAAGAACTCATGGAAGTGGAGCTTACAGGCCTCTGAAGTAAGCCTACTACTATTATTTTGCTAAAAGGACACAGCCCTCTAAATTCATATCTTTATACTCATAGACTAGTGCAGGTCTCAGGTCTCCAGAGAAGTTTCTCTGTGCAGTCGATGGTGGTTAGCACAGAAACTTACAACTGGTCAAACTGCAGAAAATGAGTATTGGAGAAGTACTCAGCCTTAAGTAGGATACCAGTGTCATACCTTTCTCCCCAGACTCATGGACTATGGAAGAAGAGAGAGCAGGAAGATGGTAAGAGCCAGAGGACAGGGAGAACTGGATGGAAGCAATGTTCTCTGAACATGACAGGATCACTGTAACTCATGAACTCACAGAAGCTGTGATTGCCTTCGTAAGACTTGCACAGAATTAAGTTAGTCAACAGTCTGAGCAAGGAGGAAGGGGTTCTCTGCTCCCCATCCCTGAGGCACTACTGACAGCTGAAGGCTGCCAGGAGAGAAAGACTCATCCTTCTTTAAGGACGTGGCCTCTGGTAGGTTGACAATGCTTCGTCGAATGGCTCCACACACAGAAGTGTATGGACAACAATTTAATCCCAGCACTCGGGAGGCAGAGGCAGGCGGATCTCTGTGAGTTTGAGACCAGCCTGGTCTACAAGAGTTAGTTCCAGGACAGCCTCCAAAAGCCCCAGAGAAACCCTGTCTCGGAAAAAAAAAAAAAAAAAAAAAAACCAGTACATGAAGTTTCGAGGTTAGGAATTAGGAGTGGGTTTTGGAGGAGTTATGAAGAGGAATAAGGGATTACTATGATCAAAACATATTGTATGGAATTGTCAAGGAATTAATAAAATACTATCTTTTTGAAAAAGTGCATTAAAAAAAATCAAAATGCAAGCCTGTGGTTGAAATGGGCAGATTGCTCTCCAGCATGAGCTCTCTCAGTTTTCAACAGTAGTAGAAATTAACCATAAAAATACTTGGCCAGCTAAAGACTACACTTCTCGTTCTTCTCCCAAATAGGTGTTACACTCACATGGCAGGGTTCTGTCAGAAACGAGGAATAAAGCTTTGGATCCTAAACTTCAAAGCAAGAGAGTTCAGCTCCCTTCTTTTTCCCTCCTTCCAACTGGTTGGGAATTGTGGCCCCAGACAGTAAAATGGAAGAAAACAGTGTCTCTCATGCATTGAGCTTTTGTAGCAATCCTTGATCAAGTACCCAGACAGTGTGTTTGGGCAAAACCGATTTCTATCTCATTTAAGCCACAATAGTTTACCTAGTGCAGCCTAAAGCAATTGTCAATACCTTCTGAGAGTGCTCTGTGCCCTTTACAATCGTGTCTCATTAAAAGAGGCCAGGTGTGGCACTTGCTTGTAATCCTAGCTACTCAGGAGGCTGAGGCAGGAGGATCACAACTTCAAGGCCAGTCTAGGCTACATAGCAAGATCCCATCTCAAAACAAAAAGCAAACAAAGGACTGAAGATAAAACTCAGCAATAGAGAGCACGGCCCTAGGTTCAAAATAAATCCAGGAGCAAAATAAATAAAATGCTAGGAATACATAATGCAAGTGTTGCCGGTTTTTTCCCCCCACACCTGCCTCTGCCTCCTGAGTGCTGGGATTAAAGGCATGTTCCACCACTGCCTGTGTGCCAACTTGCTTTGTAAAACGCCAGGTAGTAAATATTCAAGACTTTGTCCATCCTGTTTCACATCTCCTCACCTCCGTTGGAATAAACACAGCTATATTCACAGAACTGAAATGTAAATTCCAACATCACATTGTTCTTCTTTTGATTTTTTTCCCAATAATTTAAAAACGTAAAAAGCATACTTCTATCGTGGGATGTGGGAAATGAGAAGGTGGAGTTGGCCTTCAGACTCAAGTTTGCTGACCCTTCGTCAAAATACTGTAAGGCAGAATGCATCTGCTGTTCCACGTAGTTTCCAGCTTGTCGTATGCCTTAGACAGATGCATACAGATCAGACCCAGGACGTGAAAGGCAATAGTGGCGGGCCTGCGTCTGGTTAGGCAATAGAACATGTTTATGACAGGATGTTCCCAGTCCAAATGGGTGCATTGTGAGGTAAGGGACTGGTGACCTTCCATTATGTGGCAATCAGCCTTTTCAACCATTCTGTGAAACTTAAGACTTTTCTCAACTTCAATAAGGGCGTGTCTAAAAATAGCCACCCCGTGAATGGCAAATGGTCTGAAAAACAGATATTTGGGTTTCAAACATTAAGTTCCCCTTTGACAATATTTCTCAGGTCTGGGTTTTGTCTGTTTGCTTGTTTTTATTTATTTTAAAACTTCACTGTCTGATCCCGCAGTGAGGGTTAACTAAATTAATATGCCGAGGGGCCACATCCCTCCATGGTGCTTGAATGTTTTCTGACCGGTACATGCATCTCCCTGATTCTCATAAAAGGCCGGCAGGAGCGTAGGCACACTAGAACAGATAGACAATCCAGCTCTGCCACGGTCCAGGCTAGCGAGACGTCGCCACGGAAACGTGAGCAGAGGCTGAAGAGGAAGGCCAGTCCCGGAGCCCCAAAAAGAAAGTCACAGGGGCAGACTCAGGACCCCAC